GGTGGGGGGGGGGGGGCCCGCGCATCGTCCCCCCCCTTCCTCCCCCAGCAGACCAGGCTTTTGTTGTGGATCCTGGGATAGAGCAGCTGGGGTGCTGCCGGGTTGGTCCTGCAGGGACCTACCTGGCAGCCCAGCTGTTCTGTCCCAGGCTTGAGATTCGCCGCTGTTGCTTTAAAGACTAACAAGATGGTTTATTAGATTATGAGCTTTCGTGGGCCAGACCCACTTCCTCAGATCAAATAGTGGAAGAAAATAGTCACAACCATATATACCAAAGGATACAATTTAAAAAAATTGAACACATATGAAAAGGACAAATCAAATTTCAGAACGGAAGTGGTTTTTTTTTAATTGTATCCTTTGGTATATATTTTTTTCCACTATTTGATCTGAGGAAGTGGGTCTGGCCCACGAAAGCTCATCATCTAATAAACCATCTTGTTAGTCTTTAAAGTGCTACATAGTCCTGTATTTTGTTTCAAATATTATATGCACATACATTTCACAATGCTATTAAAGAGCAGTGTGATTGTGGCTTTTATTCAAGACCTCACATGACATTCTTTGGGGACAAATACATGAAAGCAGTGTGCTAAGTGCAGTGAGTTTTGATAAGCTTGCTAAGAGTTGCTGTTACAGAACAATGAATGTTGGCACTGAGGAATTCTTAGAGCCATATTTACCTTCACCATGAATGTAAAATCTGTTAAAGCAGGTGAGTAGACTGCTCCACCAGCACAAGGACCCATGATAAGAGAGATCTGTGGGACTACTCCTGAGCTCAAAACATTTCTCTGCAAGAGCAAAGAAACAAAACGAGTTATAATAAAAGCATGTTGATTCTTACATCCCTGCAAAAGCTTGCAATAGTCCAGGGATGGGGAACCTACAGTCCACAGGCTGGATCCAGCCCCCAGCTTACTTGGATTGTGTCTGCGTCAAACCTCGGCACCTCCCCTCTTCGCGAGGGCTGTAGTCCAAGCACCGGCAGCCCTGAACCAGGTCAGCGAAGTTTATTTTTGTTCTTGTGAGACATGTCAGTGAGAGTTGTTTATTTTATTTTGCTTGTTGGAAGTCATGTGAGGAGGTATGTGGTGTTTTTAAATATTTTTTTTAAGCAAGTCACAAGATTTACAAAGATTCCATAAGAACCCTCAATGACAGGCAAGAGAGGAACATAACTGCTCAAATACATTCAATTTTACAAAAATGAGATGGGAGAATGCAGCCAGCCTCTGTCAATGTGAGGAATGGCTAGAGTTTCTGTGCCACACCTCCTTTTAATTCTGTTTCGTTGGCATGCTCAATCCTTCATTACGGGACCATCTGTGCTAGTCACTAGCAACCCTCCCCTACTGACTGCCTCTCCCTACAGCACCACTGTACTGGCATCAATCCCTCCACAACATAAGCCAAAACTAACCACCTTCTCAAAAAGCATCAACAATGTTTTCATATTATTGTGGGGCATTAGGCTGGATCAGCTGAAACACTTCCAGCAGAAACCCTTTTGGTTTCCACATTTCTCATTAACTGAAAGAGCACTTAACGTCCAAAATCAAGTTGGTGTATGGGCAGGGGCGGCCCGTGAGCCTACGCGAGCTAGGCAGCTGCCTAAGGCGCTGCTGGCCCAGGCGCCCGATGATGACGTCATGGGGCGCCGGGGCGCCCTGTGATGATGTCACGGCCATTGACAGCCATGCAGGAAGGGGAGCCGATTGCGCCGCCCCGCCTAGGGTGCCAGCTGCTGCAGCTGGCCACGGGCCGCTCCTGTGTATGGGGTCTGCAGGAGGCCTTTCAAAGGAGGGTTTTTATCCTATAGCATATCTATTGAAGAGCTGTATGAATGAGTTAGACAGTAGAAAGCAATGTGTGTATGTGGGGAGCCCAGCCTATAGCACAGCTGCAGGTAACAGAAAAAAAGAGGGGGGAAAAACCCAAGAAAAAGACGACACACTGAATCCTGCCACACTAACTCTACATTGCACATCCCTTTCAGCAGATGTGGGGTATTTGTGACTACATGCTGTGGTGAAAAGAAGGCTGCATCCGTACCACTATGTGTCACTGAAAGGCTCTGGCGGGGGGAAGCAGAGAAGAAAGGCTTCAGCAATTCCACACTGCCAGATCCTTTCCCCGCTGCCTCCCCTTGTCCAAAACCTTTTCCTGTGGTGGGGAAATGCTCCAGCAGAAGAGAGCCACAAAACCTGTTCCCCCAGCAGGGGAAGAGCTACTGCAGCGTGGAGCTGTCAGAGTCCTTCTCTGCAGGTGGGAAAAGGACATAGCAGAACTGGAAAAAGTTCAAGAAGGGCGACAAAGATGACCACATGTTGAATAGTAATAGAGAGGTAGTCGTGTTAGTCTGATCTGGCTAAAACAAAAGGAAAAACTATGTAGCACTTTGAAGACTAACAAGATAGTTTAATAGGTAATGAGCTTTCGTGGGCCAGACCCACTTCCTCAGATCATATTCTGGAAGAGAATTGGCATGACCATATATACCAAAGGAATACAATGAAAAAAGCGAACACATTATTAAACTGACAAATCAGATTTAGAACAGAAGGTGGGGTGAGGGGGAGGAAGGGAGGGAATAGCTATTTGAGTCAATGAATGGCTAATCAGGGGTGATAAGTGGGAAGCTCTCTTTGTAATGCTTAAGGTAATTAGCATCTTTGTTAAGGCCCATTTGTAGTGTCAAATTTAAGGATGAAAGAAAGTTCTGAAGTTTCCCTCTGTCATCTGGTGTTAAAGTCTCTTTGAAGTAACCACCCGGCTTGCTGCACCCGCCCCATGCCGCTTTGTCTCCGCGCCGCCCGTTCCCCACGCCTCCCCTGTACCCCGGATTCCCTGCTCTCCCTCTTCCCTGCGATACTCTGGCTCTGCGCTACCTTTGCACCCTGCTCCCGTCCGATCCCTGCCCCCAGCTCTATGCTGCCCGTTCCCTGCACTGTCCCTAGACCCTGATCCCTCTGCCCCTCCCGTTCCCCATGCCTCAACCGCACCCTGCACCCCTCTGGCTCTGTGCCTCCCATTCCCTGCGTCACCCTTGTACCCCCCCCAGTTTCGTGCACCCTGTTCCCCCTGTGGGTCGGGAGTGAGGGGTGCTTGTCCATAGGGAGGGGCTGGACAGGCCAGGGAACAGGCTGCTATGACCCAGCAGGGAGTGAAAGGCGGAGTTCACTTGACGTGCCTTTGCCATTATGGAAAAAAGACCCGCCCCATGCCGCTTTGTCTCCGCGCCGCCCGTTCCCCACGCCTCCCCTGTACCCCGGATTCCCTGCTCTCCCTCTTCCCTGCGACACTCTGGCTCTGCGCTACCTTTGCACCCTGCTCCCGTCCGATACCTGCTCCCTCTATGCTGCCCGTTCCCTGCACTGCCCCTAGACCCTGATCCCTCTGCCCCTCCCGTTCCCCATGCCTCAACCGCACCCTGCACCCCTCTGGCTCTGTGCCTCCCATTCCCTGCGTCACCCTTGTACCCCCCCCCCCCAGTTTCGTGCACCCTGTTCCCCCTGTGGGTCGGGAGGGAGGGGTGCTTGTCCATAGGGAGGGGCTGGGCAGGGCACGGGAAAAGCGGGTGTG